CCCCAAAACCCCAAAACCCCATAGGTCAGATTTAAGAAAAAAGTATTTTATTAAGAAAATTATTTGTAGTAACTTTTAGATAAGTATTAATTTAGCACGCTAAGCTATTTTTGAAAAATATGAAGCCTTTATACTACAGCTAATTCAAACTCCAGATCATATAGCTGAGTAAACTTCTATTTCTATTATTCTGAATTTTTAGCTTCCTGCTAAATAATTAAAAGCCTATTCATCTCCGAATTAATGTCCTTCTTAAGTTTTATATGAAAGACCTAATTAGCATTAACTTTCATTAATAAAGTTGCAATCATTTGCTATAGCAATATCTCCACTAAATCTCATCAAATAATCTTAGTCGTACATAACTGCATGATCCTAGATAGGAGGTCTTTGTAGGTGCAGAGTTTAATGAGTCAAGCTAAACAAAAATGCATGCGTATCTTTTTTCCCTTGAATAACTTAAGTAGATTTCCAATCAAGAGATGTATATCCTCCAAAGACAAAGCCCAACTCGCTTAAAATAAATGAAATCGTTGGACCTTAGTTATCACATAATCTATGAAAATCATATGCTTTGTATCCGTCCCTAGTTGCTTTATAAAGAAGTTTTGTTTTGACTGATAGGGGTAAAAGTTTCGGATTATGTACTTTATCTTTATCTATTTTCAATAATTGGTCGTTAACTAATCTTCTAAAGGCCTTGTATTTAGCAAGGGAAAATTAATTCATTTTTTCCCTTGTTTATACTTCTAATAAGCTTAAAGGTTCTTTTTTTATTGGAACAATATTGATTTGATAAATTTTACTTTGCCCAATAACTTATCTTTTTTCTTGTTTCAAAAGTTCAATATTTGTTGCACTGGATTTTAATTTTTTAATTAATATTTACTGATGTTCCATTTCTTATGCAGATTAATTTTGAATGTCAAGATGAAAGTATTTCTCATTATTTTGAATATATAGATCACTTTAAATACTTTTTACATATGAAAGCAACAAGTTATTAGATGCGTTAATCCCCCTAGAGTTATCTTTTTGTCTTTTTCCTATTTTCCGCCATACATAGGTAAATGAAAATTAAATGCTGATATAGATTGCAACCACAGCAATAAGTATTTATGCAGCGAACTGTATGATACCGAATAAATAAATCAATAGAATCAAAGCTACTATCAAGAAGAAATATATGATTAGTAACCTGTATTCATTAATTGGCTGATTTTTATCGCTGAGATTCATACAGGAAGGACATTAAATTTGCATGTTTTAAACTTATTCTGTTTGTAAATTATAGCACTAAAGGCAGATTTGTTCTTTACATGGGAGTTTCAATGGCTTTCTTAAACTGAGATTATAATATTTCTAGCAGCCAGGGCATGTGAACATTTTTATAATATAAAGCACCATAGGTTCAGAATAGTTAAATACAAATAAGCTCGTAGAAAATGAATATTTTAATTAGTAAATATTATATGTTTGATCACATTTGCTTAGTTTTTAGCATATGGGGTTTTGGGGTTTTGGGGTTTTGGGG